AATACTCCCTCATATTTGGAAAACCCACTAAGGAAATACTCTTATTTCTTTTGAGTTTTGAGGCCTGTTTATTGCAATAACACTACTCAGATTTTTGAAGGAAGCAGAGCAAATGCACTTAAAACTGAGCACAAAAAACAGAATAGTATAACAGTTGAAATGTATGACAGTAACAGAATCACTCTGTGTTTAGAAATTCAGGTTTTCATCAGATGCACAGATATTTTTAGCCCAACTGTCTCTCAGTGACAGTTTTTCTTAACAAAAAAGTTTTCTAGTCTTTTAGTGGTTTGTGAAGAAAATGTTAAGGGCTGAAGAGTTTAAACAATGTTTAAAATCAAATAGAACTTTTAGAATGGGAGGCAATAATAATTACAATGATCTTGGTACTGATATCTACTCATTTCTTTTACCTGCTTAGCTCCATCCAGTTCTCATTACCTGCTCATCTGATCCACCTGCTTTAGTCTCTATTTAACTAGCACCCAAACCAGTCATCAGTGTCAGATTATTTCAAGCCAGTTGTGAGAAGTTTTCCAGCATTCATGTGTTTCAAATAGCCTGATCCTGACCTGTTCTGCCTCTCGACCTCTGAACCTGCCTTTCCCCCTTCCGATCTGTTTGCCTGACCTGTCTTCTGACTCCTGCCGAATTTCTGCCTGTCTGTGTACTGAAATGTATTCCTGACTCCATTCTGAATTCTCACTCTGCATCTCTTTGTATCTCTGATCTCCTGGCTCTGACCAAGCACATCCCTGACACTGGCTTTGGCTTCGCCCTCTGGATTATCCTGCCTGTCTTCGTCTGCTTGGTTCTGATCTCCTGCCTGTTCTCCAACCACCAATACATCTGCATCTGGGACTCTGTGGTCAGCGCTCACTGCGTCATGTTGGCAGCTGGCCGGCAGGAACCAACCAGACCCTCTGGGTATGGACTGAAGTATTAGGCCATGATAATGACTCACACGTTCGTTACCATCCACCTCCAGAGAGACATGGTCACTAACCTTTTGTCTCGTCCTGCAGAGGTCCCTGCCTTAGACGCCAACACTGCTCACTGCAGTTCTCTTTCCAATAAACATTTTGAGAAATCTGTTTGTCCATCTTGAATACTGGATCCTATTTTTCTGAGTTTGACAATAATAATGCATTGAGAACGGTGCAAGGAGACGGTTTGAACGTCAACAAATAAATCTGTTATAAGCATATGGATAGATAGACATGTACTAAAGATGTAGTTTGATTTATATGAATGACAAACATAACTGGTCTAATGACAGAATCCTGGGGAACTCCCCTGTAAAATATGGAGAAAACAATACTGAACACATCCATTTAACACATCTATAAGAAAGCTATGTCATACAAAGACATTCCCTTTTGTCGAGACTTAAAGATAGAAACTCTGGCAAGAAAAGTAAGTAGCCATCTGTGGTGGAGTTTCTTTCTTTTTTTTTTTATTTCTTTTAGCTTTTTTATATGTTTTATATAATGAACAAAGGTAAGGCGGGGTATACCCTGGACAGGTTGCAAGTCCATTGCAGGGCAACACAGAGAAAAACAGGACAAACAACCATTCACACAAACACCTAAGGAGAAGTTAGAGAAGCCAACTAACCTAACAGTCATGTTTTTGGACTGTGGGAGGAAGCTGGAGTACCTGGAGAGAACCCACGCATGCTCAGGGAGAACATGCAAACTCAATGCAGAAAGAGCCTGGACTGGGAATTGAACCCAGAACCTGCAAGGCAGCAGTGCTACCCACTGCACCACTGAGCAGCCCATGATGGGACTTGATAAAACTCTAAGTCGTTCAGTTTTGATTTAGTTGGTTTTCTAACCATTCAAAAGAGGATACTCTAGTGTCTGATCATAGTTCTGCTGCAGAGTCCAGGTGTGGGTGAACTTAAGGTGAAGGACAGATCACTGGACATTCAGCCGAGTCTTAAAGAAGCAAAGCAACCCCATTTTATCACACTACATCCAACCAGACTGGCTTTTAGTTTTATACTGGTTAGCTTTAGATGTAGGGGGTCATGACCTTTAGATTTCTTAGATTATTTTCCAACCTCCAAATGTAGCCGTTGATGTATTTTTGGTAGCGATACCACTCCTGGAAAGGTTCACTGATACTGCAAGTTTTCTCTATTTCCAGAGACTGTAGTTCATCAGGAGTCCAAATCCTTAAAAATAGCTTTGTAACCCTTCAGATGTTGATAGATGGGACTGTTTTTCACTGTTCTTGATTTTGTTTGAATATGGGAATAACATGTGGATTTCTTTTTCTTTCTCAGACAGGTTTTATTTTTGATGATTTCTCATTGTTAACAGTCTGGCTGTAAACAGGCTTGGGTGTAACTAGCGGAACCCCGTCCATATTTATGAAAGAAAAAGATACATTTCTGTTTAGATGATTTAGAAACAGCAGAATATTCAAATAAAGTCATGTTGGTTTGGATAAATGAAAAGAAAACTGAAATGTTACATTTTGGATTTCATTGGGTTATTTTTCTCATTTCATTATTTGTTAGATTATGTGAAACATCTAAGTGTGATGAATAAAATACCAAAAGAAAATAGATCACTCAGGAAGAAATACTTTGTTTAAAAGCACTGTATGTCCTCCATATGGCTATAAACAATCATAAAAAGGTCACCCAAAGAGCTCCTCGGGTGGGGGGCAGTAGAAGCTGTTCACTGTTTTAGAGCAATAGACGGAGATGATGACAAAGAGCAGCAGATAAGAGGATGTCCTTTAATGGACAAAATCAGATCCACTCAAAATTAGTGCCTCTCTAAATCCGAAAAAAAGAGGCATGGCTTATAATAAAATTAAGTCTTAAGAGTACAGTCTGAACGCCGAAGGGGAGTTTTATTTCCTGTTTTTACAATAAAATAGAAAACAGGCTCTGGAATTCTAGTAAAACGGAAAAAGGATGATCAGTTTCTTTTGTAAACTTCTTGACAATGAACAGCTTCTTCCCTTTTTCCAGAAAAAAGCTGCAACCAAACAATACTTTCCCTGAGGCGTCATATGCTTGTGCCCACTTGAGTATCCCATATGGCTGGTTATGTATAATTGAGGACATCATAAATATAAAATTCTTGTTCTCCTTAGAGGGAACAGATATGGACGTGAAGATATAACAGCATTTATCACAGCCTTGTGTTTGACAGATCCAGCACTGAGGTTTCAGATGAGTGGTGATGCTGGTGCAGCAGCCTCACCGGCCAGCTGTTAATCCAGGCTGACAACAGGCAGAACAATGGCAGATGGGCTTTGGATCCTAGAGTTGCTGAGATAAAGTATTCCCCATCAGGTATAGACAGATAGGGGCTGAGTAGAAACACTGCAGCTTGGGTAGGGCGAAATTGGAGGAAACTTTCAAGTCTCTCATTACTTTACAGCAAGAAGAAAAAAATACTTTTGTTATTGAAATTCAGGCATTATTGCATTTAAAAATTGACAAAATTTCTTTTTAAAAAGTGCTGTACAGTTGGTTTCAAGCCTTTAATGAGCTTCATGAGAGCTACATTTCAATTCTCCAGAGAACTGCTGTACATGCCTGCCTCTTCATTTATTTTTTACTAAAGCTCAAGTCTGCCCTCTAGAGGCCACAAAAGTCACTAACACCCTTGGAAAATTATGACAGCAGGAGGGTTAATGTGGCAGGCTAAATACAGTTGTACTTGAAAGTTTACACACCCTACCATTAAAGACAATTATAAATTAACACTAGGTCGGGTAAAAGTAAAAATACATTTAAAAAGTGCTAAATTATTATGCTATAAAAATAAAATATTAATCAGCACGTAAACATTCAAGCACAACTGTATGAATATGAGAGGGTCTGACATTTGGTTACTAAATAAAGCATGTAAGACTCCATTGAGTCCCAAATAATAACAAATATATTCCGTAAAAGTTTAAAAAACAATCCACTGGACTTGGGATCCAAGGTTTGAAGACGTTTCGCTTCCCTTCCAGGAAGCTTCCTCATTTCAAAATGTCTGAATTTGAATAACTGAATTGTAAGTTTTCGGAAGCTGGAATCTGAGTCCACCATCTCTGTTTAAGGTTGTTTTTACTCTCTTAACATAGATGGCTTCCTTCACGCCCATCTCAAGCCACCTATTTTCTTAATCCAAAATGTGAACATCATGGTCCTCAAAAGAATGTCCTTTGTCCACCAGGTGCAGATGTACAGCAGAGTCTTGTCCAGAGGAGGCCGCTCTTCTGTGTTGGGCGATGCGTCTGTGGAGAGGTTGTTTGGTTTCTCCAATATAAAGATCAGAGCATTCCTCGCTGCACTGAATAGCATTCACTGAACAGCATTCACTGAACAGCATGGAACCAGCATAAAAATAAACAAGCCTCCTCTATTTTTGGTTCTGGTTATGCAAAGTAGATTTGAGCCAGAAGACCTGAGTGGTTTGGGCAGTTGATCCACAAACAACAAGTCTGTATTCTGACCGTAAACCATTCAGTGTTTATGGACTGCCAGAAGTATTTTTAAGATTATTTTCTCAGATACAAGAAAGTGTTGGAATGATTTTAGAACTGGGATGATGTGCTCTACTTTCTTAGTTCCAGTGAGGATGCAGGCAGCAGCATTTGGTATCAGTAGCCGTGGTCTTGTCCAAATTTTAGGTAGACCTGTGAAAACAACACTGCAGTAATCAATTCTAAAATAGATCAATGTCTCAATCAGGTTTTAAAGGACATTAGTACTTTAATGTTGGAGATTTTCACTGAGACTCCACTGATGAGTGATCAAATTTAATCCAAGTCAAACATATGCATTTTGCCTTTACTTTAAATAACACATTTTGTTGCTATGAAGCAAGATCAAAATTTTCACATATTAGTCATCCCACTCAAAAAGGCATCTAAAATGAGATGCCCTTTTGATCTCAGATTTGAAAGCAAAAAAAATAAAAAAAAATCTGGAAATGACGTATGACATACATCAACTTTGTCCTTACTGTTTACATAAACATGTTACTCATACACTCATGGCTTGGCTCATACCTGCATAGAGGGCCGAAGCGGAGCAGGTAGACGCACAGAAATAAGGAGGAAAATGGGTTTTAAGACTGTGTTATGGCTTCTGCTTCTACTGCCTGGCTTCCATACTTTAATTGGATCTCCTCAGGAAGAGGTAGGTGGAAAGCTGTGGGTAAACAAGAGCTCTGCTGTGGTCATTCTGCTTCTCTGGGATACAAAGTGCATTGAACTCTTCAACTTTAAAGTAGAAACAGAGAACTTTACCAATGAAAGATAAATTATGTATTACTACATGTAAATGGCGCACTTCAAAATACAAATTCTTAATTAGAACGCGGTAGGTTGAAAAAACTGCACGGCTGTGCAATATTTTCTAGGAAAGAAATAAGAAAAGTTTTGAATGTCTTATTATACAGCCTATTTGCATATATATATATATATATATATATATATATATATATATATATATATATATATATATATATATATATATATATATATATATATATATTAGTGCTGTCAAAATTATCGTGTTAACGCGAGGCCATTTTAACGGCGATAATTTTTTTAACGTGAGATTAACGCTATGTGGTTTTATGGTACAATTTTCCAAGTACATCCCGCTGCAGCCTGCGGGAAGGCGGGGCTATTTTCCCCCAGTGTATGCATTTCTCATAGGCTTCTAGAGCGGAGCTCCTCAAGGGAAAAAGACGCTCATACACTGGGTGACGCTAGTGCCTTTTCTTTAAGCCCCACCACCAACAAACAAGTTGAGTGTCTGGTAACTAGTAGCAACCTGAAATGCGCTGAGAAAACAGAGTACTGAGGTGAAATGGAATCTGCTACGGCAGTATTGCTGTCTGTGTACGCCACAAGTCGGTATCGTGTGTGTGTGTGTGTGTGTGTGTGTGTGGGTGGGTGGGTGGGTGTGTCTGTGTGTGGGTGTGTGTGTGTTCTCATTTTTGTTAAGAGGCTGAAAAGTAACTTTCTAGAGCATTGACTACCTCCATCTAGTGATGTCGGTCTATTGATTTTGATGTATTGATTGAAAATTGTTCATTATTATCTTGGTTAATTAACATCTAATGTTAACTGTACTACATTTTATAGCAGTAGGGTAAAATGCTTGTCTTTGTTCAAAAGACTGTATTAACTGTAAAGACTGTCTTTTACATCAGCCTGTTTTCAGGGCCTTTTTTTTTGGCTACATATTTGTTATTTTTTGCTACATGCCTCCCCATCTTCTTGCCATATGTTTCTATGGCATAAATCAGTGTCTGTGACCTGTTTTCATTTAAAAAAAAGAACATTGGCACAAACCTAGTCTGTATGTATTTTTTGTATGTCATCGAGAGTATTTAAATGATTTTCAATCAGAAAAAAAATTTGCGATTAAAATGCGATTAATTGCGAGTTAACTCAGGCATTGATGCGATTAATCGCGATTAAAAAAATTTAATCGATTGACAGCACTAATATATATATATATATATATATATATATATATATATATATATATATATATATATATATATATATATATATATATATATATATATATATATATATACTAACTAACTCCTAAAGTCAGTTAGTATGTAAACAAAGTTATCATAAGTCAAATTTTACCTCACTATAAGTAGAACCAAAAATTTTTTCACTATGATGCATTGTAGTGGCTGCATCATTCTGGGGCAATTGTTTCTTTGACAAGGGCAGGGAAGCTGTTCAGAATTAATTGCAATGATGGATGAAGCAAAATTAAGTTCAGTTCTGGAAAAACAGCTGTTATAGGTGGGAAAATATCAGAGATTGACGCAGTGGTTCGCCGAGGAGCATGTTGGATTGGATTTGATCAAAGTATTTTTTAAGCCCATAATTAAATCCAGTTAAAATCTGCAGAAAAATGCATGTTCAGATGCTTTCTATTTAATCTGACTCAGTTTAAGGGATATTAATTGCAAAGAAGATTTGACAAAAAGAAGAAAATCATGTGTTGCCTATTTTTACCCTTAACATTATACATTTTGTGGTGATTTGTCACACATGATGAAATACATAGTAAACTGTTTCTGTAATTTAACAAACAGGTAAAGATTGTTAGTGGACTCACTTTGAATTAAACTAATGCAGTCTGTGTCATCCAAACACTACAGGAAAAATTCTCTGCTTTAGATTCCTCTGCTGAACCTACAGGTATGTGATGCAAAACGAGAATTCAGCTCATGTTACTTATTTGCAGCATTTTGAATAAACAGCATTCTATGTTATATTAATGAACTGAAAGAACCATTTGGAAACAACTTTCATGCTCAACAACCGTTTCTTATTTGTTTATATGTTTTTCTTCCCTTCATAGTAAAGCCTCGATTACGTCGCTCTACTCTGATGCCAGACATCACACACCTAGAGCTGTTGGTGGTTGTGGGGCCCGACGTCCAGCAGGTCCACAAACAGGACACAGAACGATATATTCTCACCAACCTAAATATTGTAAGTCTAAACCTTCAGTGGATAGAAATTTAGGTCAAACATACAATAAGGCTGCTCTAAGGAGTGGTCAATAAATTATGAATTAGAGCTAAACACTTGCTAAGACACTGTGTATTTTATATAATAACTAACTCTCAGCAGAAAAAACGTATACAGATGTGATCACTACTATGCATTCTCCCCAGGCGTCTGAGCTGCTCAGAGACATGACCCTGGGTGCCAACATGAGGGTACACCTGGTCCGCATGATCATCATGTCACAGCCCGAGGTAAGAGGTTGGATTTAGGAGATATAGGACATTTGCTTACAAAGTAAAATTAGGGCTGGTGCATACTAAAACTTAATGGTTGGGATGTGTAATAGTGAGCTGGTGATAAAACATTCATTGAGATCAAGTTAAGGTGAGGCAGATTAATTTATATTGCACATTTCAATGACAATACAATTTAAAGAGCTTTACATGAAAAAAAAAAGGATGCAGGCAGCAGCATTCTGGATTATCTGCAGCAGTCTGATCCACATTTTAGGCAGACCTGTGAGGACAACACTGCAATAATCAATTCTACTAAAGATGAATGTATGAATCCTGCTGAGATATTAGTTCTTTAATCCTGGAGATGTTCTTTAGTTGATAGAAGGCCAACTTGGTTAGTGTCTTTATGAGCCTCTGAAGGTTCAGGTCTGTCCATCACTACATCAAGATTTACAGGCTGATTGGTGCTTTTGAGGAGGATTAGCTGAAGCTGTGAGCTAACTTTTTCAGTTTCAAAGTAGGAAGAGAAAAGAATCATGATGGAACCACAGATTATTATGACCTGCTACTTGGGTAAGATAGTTATAGATTTCCTAATTCATATGTTACAGGAAAAAGAGGATGCACCTGAATAAAAATGAAACATTGATGGAAATTTTGAAAACAACACATTTACATTTTCTTTTTTGAAAAAAGCTATGTCCCAGCTACAAAAACAACAGGAGAGAAGGCTTAACGATGCAGAACTCTCCATACACAATTGTTTTGCTGCCCTCTGCCATGTTGAAAGGTCAAAGTTTACATCATCTCATCAACTTTGGCATCATACAATTTTCCAACAGAAATGACACGTTGCTGTGCAATGTTTTTTGTGTTTACTATAATCACGATACCACAAGAAGGCAGCATGAGTTGTTAGTTAGGAGGAGTATGTAGATATTTAATAAATTGTGGCCTTAAGATGGACCCTTTGGAAATGCCACGTGTTCTTGATCCCTGATGTAAAGTTATCTACTGAGAATAAAAGTTTTTTTTTTTTTTTGTCCTGACACTTTCTCAAGAACAGGGCAACAAAATTAACTCTTTGCATTTAACCCATCCCCTTGGGTAGCAGTGGGCTGTCATTGTGCGGCGCCCGGTGAGCAGTGTAGAGTTAAGGGTCTTAATTAGGTACCCAAGAGTGGCAGTCTGTGGGAGTGGGGCTTGAACTCAGAACCTCAGGATTCCAAGTGCAATTCCCTTTGCAAACACAACATGCCAAAAGGCATTGCCTTAGGACCCACACTGGCAACTAATTCCCCCCCAGCTGGGATACGAAGCCAGGCTTCCTGTTTGCAGGAGGGGGTGACATACCACTTGAGCTAGCCACTGTCAACACTCCAAGTAGAACTATAGAAAATGTTTATCTTCTAATGTTTGCCTAATCCACCTCTTCTAGCCAGAGATCCAAATGTCCACCAACATCACTTCCTCTCTGAGGAGTGTGTGTGACTGGGGCAGAAGGATCAACCCCTCCAATGACTCAGACCCACTACATGCAGACCTCCTGTTATATGTAACAAGGTATGGATACAATCTATGCAACTCTAAACATATTCATTATTGTAAAAATCCTCTTTATCACTTAAATATTTTCCAGATTTTTTAAACTACTTTGACTTTATTCAGTTTATGGTAGCTGTGATTTTCTTCTAGAATTGTCTTTAATTTAGCATGTCCACCGCATGATGTCAGCATTTTGGTAAAGAGTTACACTGGGTCACATCTATTTAGAGGACCTTCTCCCAGAGGTTTAGGTGCCCAACAGGGTTTGTGGTAAACTGCAAATGGAGTTTTTTTTTTTGTATTCACTAAACAAATTATTTTCCTCCTGCTCTTCCACAAATGCCAGATTTATGAAAGATATTACTAATTGATGGTCTATCAATAAATTTTCTCACCTCAGCTGTAGATCAATGAGCGTGTTAGTTTAGGTAACAAACTCAGATTTCCTCAATGCAGGTAGAGCTATTTCTCTGCTCTTTTATCTCTTCAATCTATTCTATTCCATTATATTTTCCTCTATTCCATTCTCTTCCATTCTTTTCCATTCTCTTCTCTTCCATTCCATTCTATTCTATTCTATTCTATTCTATTCTATTCTATTTTATGGCCATCTCTTGGAAGGTTTTGCAGTCTTTTAGAAAACAAATAGCATAGCTCAAACCTTGGTATAGTAGTATGTAGACAGCGGACACTATTTAGGGATGGTAGAGTAAATGAGACTGACTAATATCAATGCAAATAACACTTAAATTTTTGGCAAAACAACTTGAAACAATTCATGTTTTTATTTCAAGTACATATGTTTTTTTTTTACTTTTGCTTTGGTTTAAAATCTGGATAAAAAAAGAAAAGTTTGTGCTTCAAACTTTCTTCGAAATATGAAAAGGATAAGTGTTCATGTTACTTTTGCAGGGCACTGTGTTTTATTAACAAGGAAACATGGTGATTGTATAAATGCTTTGTTATCTGAAGGTACGATCTGGAGCTGCCAGACGGGAACAAACAGGTCAGAGGGGTGACACAGCTTGGAGGGGTCTGCTCCAGGGAATGGCCCTGCGTGATCACAGAGGACACAGGCTTCGACCTGGGCATCACCATCGCTCATGAAGTTGGACATAGGTATAAGAAAGAATAATCCCTCAATCTGTGGTAAATTACAGGTGGGATTTATGATTGAGTTATACCAGAGAGGAAACATAGCAGATTTGCAGGAAAGCAACGTTTAAGGAATGGGACTGCAGGCACCTTGTCTAATATATGTTTTTTTTTTATTAGTTTGCTCCATTTTGTGTTTTTCTAATTTACACGTCTGTTGTTTCAAAGTTTTCTTTCAATTTCTGAGACAGCATAATTTGGAATGAGTTACAGACAAAAGGTCCCACCTGTATGTGATATAATACCTTAATGGTTAAAACTTTTTCATAAAACTATTAAAAAACTGCAATTTTTTTATATACAATCTTTTATAATCTTTTCTAGCACTAAGACAGCAGGTGAAAAATTATGAATATGTGGCAATTACGCTTTCACAAGTTTCACAAGTATCGTTCTGGATGAATTTTTCATATACCGTAGGATAGTTTTACAATTTAAACTTTACTGCCTTGCACTTAGTTTTGGAATCAACCACGACGGGGTAGGGAACAGCTGCAGCCGGAGCGGCTTCATAATGGCCACAGACGGAGGCTATAACAGTGTGGATTTGACCTGGTCCCCCTGCAGCAGACAGCAGCTTCTCACCTTCTTCAGGTATGCCAACCTGTTCAATGCAGCTGTACCTAAAAAAAGGGAATGTTAAGATCCATCAAGATCCATTTTTCTATCTTTCCCCCCTTTTTTGCAAATCTTTTAATCAGTAAAACTAGCTTCAGTTTAATTGTTTGTATACACCTAAAATAATTGCAATATTTGTATATGTTAGACATTAATTTGTGAGCATTCCTTGTCAAAGATCTAAATATTGGACCTTGATAACACAATGAAATATAAGATATCACTCTATTAAATGTTCCCAGTGAAGGTAGGGCTGAATGCGTCAAAGATTTCCCTGCACTCGGAGGCTCCCTACAGGACTGGAAGCCAGGGTTGTATTATGGAGTTGATGACCAATGTCGTATAGCTTTTGGCAGCACTGCAAGAGCCTGCTCATTCTCCAATCCTGACCTGGTATATTACCTGTAATAACAACTCTGCAACACTAGATGGAACCCCACTTCATAGAAACATGCATGCAGTTCCATGGCACATGTTCATTCATGTTTACAGTTATAGTCTAATTTTCCATCAGCCAGCTTGCCGTGTTCTGTCCTGTCACGTTAAACCTGAAGATGTCGGCTCCTGTAAACGCCTCCTGGTTCCTTTGCTGGATGGGACAGAGTGTGCACCCAATCAGGTAACACTCTATGTGTTTACTGACCAATACTGCTGCTGTTATTCTAAAGTGTAGAAGAAAGCACAAGCACACTATGCCTTCTGTCTTCTAGTGGTGTTTGAAGGGACGCTGTGTGTCCACAGATGACTTTGGTTCCTCTGTGGTGGTCAATGGCTCCTGGTCCAGCTGGTCTGAGTTTTCGTCCTGCTCTAGGACATGTGGCGGAGGAGTCATGCTACGTACCAGGGAATGCAACAACCCAAGGTTGCAAGTGTTACACAAGCTTTAAGATTTGCTTCAGAGAGCTGCTTTTAAAGATCACGTGTGTCATGTGTTTTCAGACCTGCTTTTGGAGGGACTGATTGTGAGGGTCCAGATATTGAGGCTGAACTTTGTCACCAACAGGCAAGTTCTTACTAGTTTTGTTGACACTGGGCCTCCCCATTAGCCTGACAAAAGTGTTCCTGCTTCATGAACCCATTCATGTTTTCTAAAAAATTAACTACAAGTTTAAACCACCACAGAGTTTTTGTGCATAATAACAACGAGAAAGATATAGGATTTTCAAGTATGGCATCAGATTCTCTATTGGATTCAGGTCTGGACTTTGGACAGGCCTACTCTGCTTTAAGCTTTAAACATCTTGAACATTTGTCCTTCATTTTAGTACAGCTCAACACAGATGGACCTGAAATTATGGGCTGCTGTGGTTCAGTAGGAGGAGATTTGCCCTCATTAGAGTTGTGGTTTTTAATTGAGCCTCCTCCCTTGTTACATCACTATGCCCTTCAGCAAGATACTTAACCTAATATGTGTATCTCTGCATACATTTGCTAGAAAGCTGGTGTGAGCAAGACTAAGAGTATAATAACTAAGAGTAGCTGATATGACATTATATACAGGCCTTTTAACATTACTTTAGTAATATCTTGAGGGACTTTGGTTGAAAAGGATTTTCTTAAAGTTGGTTTATGACATGTAAGTAGATAGGTTCAAGGTTCTGGAGTTGAACAAAAAATCTTGGTACCCAGAACTCCAATATATTAAATGAGGTCAGGTACGCATTCTCGCTATACGGCATCTTCACGTGCACACATTTATTGGATTTTGAAGAACCTGGGGTGCTGGTTATCCAGATTCTTTTTCAACACTAAAGTCCCGATTAAAAAAACACTAAAGTTAAATCCCACAGTATAAAATGTTGAAGGTATACTGAAACTTTTGGGGAGCACTATAGCTCAGTATCACTACCACAGTGGATGAACAAACACGTTTTTATAACATCAGGTAGTTAGTTGTTCTGAAAGACACTTTGGGATACTAACATTTAACATTGCAATTAAAGGTGGAGAGACTAACCTCTTAGCAAACAATCTGCTAGAGTTTAATGAAAGCTCCTTTGAATCACAGAGCAAAATGATTAATTGAGTCATTCTCTCTCTGCTACGCTGCTTTAGCCTTGTGAGGGGACCCAGCTGGAGTTCATGGCAGAGCAGTGTTCTCAAACAGACCTCCGACCTCTGTACTTGCTACCCAACACTGCTTCCTTCTACAAATGGATCCCAGCTATTGGATTTGTTAAAGGTGACAATAATCAAAACATTCTGGGCCGATACCCATATCTGATATTAATATCACACTCATGACTGATGACCGATATTTACTTAGATCAGAAATCATATATTTCCCTATCCTTTTGACACCTTGAAGAAAAACAAACACAACGCTGATAATGCTTTTCTTAAACACGCATAATCCTGAGATGCATAAAAATCAGTCACACAACCGATCTGCTTCCTTCCTTCCAACGTCTGGAAAAAAAAGAAATCTGGAAACTACATGGAAATAAATATTGGTTGTTAATATCAGCTTAGTTTTACTTATTGGGCCGTTAGCGTTATGCTTCAAAATGACCAACATGGGCCGATATTAATATTGTTATTCTTTGTTTGTTTTTTTGAGTTTTTACAGTACTAGTGGCTTGTTTTTTCAAAAGTAGGCTGACATGAAAAGAGGTATGAGAGGGGGAGAGACATACAGCAAAGAACCACAGGTCGGATTTGAACCCAGATTAAGGAGGACTAAGGCCTCCGTACATGGGCCCCACCTGCACGCCCGGCTAATATCAATATTAACACAGATATATATCATTGGGGCTGTGGAAAAAAAACCGATTAGGTGATATAATGTGATTTTCAGCTGCCTGATATAATATAGATTTTTCAGTTCCTAATATTGATAAAAAACAAACAAACATTTGACCAAAAACGATGAAGGAAAATTGGCTACATCTGCACCACCACTCTGGTAAATAGCACCATGGAGCCCTTTTGCTGTGTGGCGCAGTGCCATATCTGTAGTTCAGGCAGTCACGGTGGAAGACGTGATATATAGTGATATTGCAATATCGTGATAATGCCATATCGTGACCCAATAATTGTGATATGTATCGTATTGCAACACCCATGCCAATACTTACCCCTATATGTCATGCATCCCTTATTCCTTCCTATGTTCCTGTGTCCAGTAACTCACATTTTATCAAACTTTGGTGACAATCAGGCGATGAGCAGTGCAGGTACATGTGCCAGTCAGATGCAGAGGACTTCATAGTGAGCCGTGGGTCTCATTTTGTGGATGGTACTCGCTGTGAGTCAGATAGCGCAACTCCATACGGAGCAACAGCTGCTTGTCTCAGAGGCAGATGCCAGGTAAAGAAGAATACTCATACCAGGAAGATGATTCAGTTCAACTTGTTCCCCTTTTTTTCATGCATGCTTTTCATTCTGGGATCAGCTGTTCGGCTGTGATGGAGTGCTACACTCTGGGAAAGCGTGGGATGTTTGCGGAGTGTGTGGTGGAAATGGGTCGACCTGCATTTTGACATCTGACTCCTACAGCGGCGGTCGTGCCCAAGGTATTAAAGGACTGGATAAGTAATTGCTTTTTCTTAACACTAAAGCATGAGAAACTGACTCTATTTGACTCAATTCTTTCTCCTCTCTCTTATTTTTATTGCAAAGAGTACACCACTTTTCTCACTCTGCCAGTTAATGCCTCCCAGGTCTATATTGTCAACAGTGGACCTGTTTTTACTCATTTAGGTGAGTCAAATCACTTTATAACAGATTTAATTTTCTTCGACCCCAAACTTTTTGTATCTAAAACATATGAGGTTGTTCTGTCCGCAGCTGTAATAGTTGGGGGTGAGTACATTGTGTCTGGGACTGGTGCCATGTCTTTGAATATCACCCACCCCTCACCGCTAGATGAAGACTACATTCAGTACCGCCTTCACCTCACTCCAGACAATTTACCCGAGACAGAAGAAGTGGTTCTACCCGGACCTCTTAAACAGGAGATAACCATACAGGTCAGGAAAATCAACATATCTGGTTCATCTAGAAGTAGAAATAAACGGTATTTGTAGAGATCTTCTTATGCAGCCTTTTCCTTAAAGGCACTCAGTCTAACTGATACTGCTTTCTCTTCCTCCATTTTCACGATAATGAAAAAATGATAGCAAATATTGAATGAGTCTCAACTTAAACAAACAAAAAAAGATGTATTACAAATGTATCCACTATGAAGAAAAAATGGAGAACCTTCACTAGAAAAAAATGCTAATATGGGTCTAAAAAATATTGGCCGGTCAGTGTATGAGTCTATCTCTACCCCCTTCAAACCTCAGATTAAGATCTTTCCACAGACTCCAGAAAGAGATGGCTAAGGAGAGGTTTAAACTACATTCTGCTAAATTATGTGATTTCAGCATCCCTGCCCCTCCTGTTTGCAAAGCACTCCTAGAAAAATTAAGCAGACAGTTCCTCACAGCAAAACATGGTGGGCAAGCGACAGCATCTGCTAGAAAGGGTTTGCAAAAATAAACATCTGGACACGTCTCTTGATCTGGCGCATGAATGTTACTTTGATCAAGCCCCTTGGAAATAAATTACTTAGATAACACAAAGAGGCTTCATGCACTGCAAAAAATTGAAATCTAAATAAGTAATTTTTTCTCAATAATAAATGCATTTTTTTCTTGAATTGAGGAGATAAGTGAGACACTTTGCCAATGGAACAAGACAATTTACATTTAAAATGAGATGTAATAATCTCATTTTAAGAGTAAAGAACCTACTGTAATTCCATTGGCAAATCATCCTATTTACCATCTCAAATTAAGATTAAATACACTTTATTTAAGACATTTTTTATTTAATTCTAGACCATTTTTGCAGTGTGTTATATGGTGTTGTAAGCTTGCGTTCTGTGCTGTACCCTGGAGTTAGCCAAAATATTAGATGAGAAGAGGAAAAGTGTATAAAAGCTGTAGATGTTGTGTCCACTTCTCCCTCTTTTATCTGAAATCTGTCACAAATCTGCACAGACTTTTCTAAGCAACTATATACTAGTGTTGCACCATATCGGCGAGTATCGGCGAGTACCAACAAACAGGGCACCAATACCATTTTGAGAGCCATAAGTTTATTCACCCACTAGGCAATAAAAAGTTCTACTGGATTCACTTTGTATTAGATTTTTTTCCTGCTTCACAAAGGTAAGCAGCAGCTTGACAAAGCCATGATGGAAATTATTTTACATTTTTATGGTATCGGTATCGGCTGATACTGCACAGCCAGGTATCGGGGCCAAAAAATGGCATCGGCGCAACACTACTATATACACAGTAGGAGGTTTCTCCACCTCCGCCATCAGTTTCAGCATTGATGTAGAAGAGGGGACACCATCAGTATTATATATAGAAGGCAAAAAAAAAAAAATAAATTTCTTGCATCATTACCCACAACTAAGCATACCAACCCATATAACCTTTTTTAAACACACTCCCCTGTCATGACAGCTCATGTAAACAAATAGCTGTTCTGGTTGCGACAGCAGGCCAGGCTTCAGCATCTCTGGAAAGGACACAACAGGAGAAAATATTAATGACTATAAATTAAGAAACATTGGCGGGGGGAGCAAAGGGAGAAAAGGAAAGCAAGGTGACACCAAGAACAGGGAAAACTAACAAGAAAATCTGTACATAATTTTCAATTCGGCCTTCTACTTCATTTAGAAAGAATAATTCATACGAAACACAAAATCTTTGGGGTTCTTTGCAATTGTTTTAAAAAAAACATTCTATCAATAATGGTTTTCCTTCTCATCATCACATCTGTAATCTGAAAAACCTGCTTTAATCAATCAATCTATGTGCTGTTTGGATATATAAACTGCTCTCAGTCAGATCACAGCAAGGTATTTCTTCCCTTGGAGATTATAAATGGTTTATTTTAGCTCCTTGGTTTTGTTTGCTGCCTAGCACAGCTTCAAAGTGACAAATTATCCTTTAAATATGCCAATGATCAATCCATACAGGGATATGTGGGCCATATATTATGGATAAACTACCTCTGCTGCTACTAGGCTTTGTATGCTATTCCCATGACCCAAATCTGCTATCACTATAATATAAGCAGTGGTGTCAAAAGTCCACACATTTGTTACTTAAGTAGAAGTATAGATACTGCAGTTTAAAAACACTCTGGTAAAAGTTGAAGTATAAACTTGACCTTTTTACTCAAGTAAAAGTAAAAAAGTATGTGCTCTAAAAACTACCCTAACCCTAGAGTATAAAAGTATAAAGTAACCTTAAAAACAAACAGCCAGATGCCACTATATGAATGAAAAACTCAATTTTACGACTATTTCTAAACATTCTTTGAGATAGGGCCAATGATGAGGAAGGTCTTGTTGGTCTCCACCTCCCGATACGCTCTCGCCTGTGTCCGACCTTTCAGACATTTCAACATCTTTTTCTGAATCCGACATATTGTAGCATGGCATAGACAATTTGCATTTACAGTTTGAAGAACACCTTCTTGCTTCTGATTATTTCCTTTAGCTAACCAATGAGTGTTTCCGTTATATGACCATCAAATTCCACTAGTTTTCACTATATGTGGATGGTGCACATGACGTGAAATAAATACTTATAAACATTAAACCGAAGCTAAGAGTAACGAGTAACATTTGTTTTAAAAGTATAAGGAATAGAAGGTACAGATACTTGTGTGAAAATGTAATGAGTAGACGTTAGAAGTAGGAAGAAAAATTAGTAATGGAGTAAAGTATAGATAGAACAAAGTATTTGTACTTTGTTACTTGACACCTCTAAGCCATCGTGATCTAACTATCAATATTTAGTGAATGCTCAAAACTGTTGGAGAAATTTAGCTCTCCATTTATGCATAAAAGGAAGCGCACTGTGTAGATGCATCAGAGAAGACAAGTCAAAAAAATGTAGAGACCATCCATGAGCTGGAGAGTGTTTATATTGCACAGCTGTCTGAATTAAACACGAAGGAGACCGGGTTATCTAGAAAGAAAGAAGCTGTATCTTTAAATAGTTGATGTCTAGGAAATACATTTAATAATGTCTTCTAAAGCTTATTTCATAATTTTTTCAGGTCTATCGTAAATATGGACCAGAATATGGTGAAAAAACGAATCCAAACATCAGCTTTCAGTTTTATGTGCCAAGAAACAAGAGCTTGGCTGACAGCTTACCGAGAGGAAAATGGACTGCTTTCACAACACCTTGCTCTGTCACTTGTGGATTGGGTAAATGTTTGCTAACAAATGCATGTAATTCATGATATACATGTAATAAAATATATATTTTTTTAATGCTTCACCACCTTTGTTCAGGTATAGAAAAGCATGAGCATGTCTGTGTAGATGAACACACCAACAACCTTTTGAAGCCACACCACTGTAAAGCTCCTCCTCCGCCTACAGCGCTGCACACAACCTGTCAGCTCCCATCCTGCCCCCCCAGGTTAGGTTTACTCTTGGCTCCATTCTCTATTATCATTCGTCCTCCCTTTGCAGGTATGGATGAATAATTGACTATTTTTCAGGTGGGATGCAGCAGGTTTTGGGGCTTGCAGCGCCTCCTGTGGGGGGGGAGTTCGGGTGCGTCATGTGCAATGTGTTCAAAAAGATGGATCCGATGTGAAAAAGGTTCCAGATTCAGAGTGTCCCTCAGATAAAACTCCCCACTCTGTGGAAAAATGTAACCTTCACCACTGCCCTGCCAGGTGACCATGTGACCTTTTATTCATTTGTTTGCAAACAATAATTCGCTCTAGTGATCCCAGAGTATATATATATATATTTTTTGTGCAGTCTTAAACTGAATTCAGTATAAACATTTTCTCTTCAGATGGTCTGTGTCAGATCCAGGAAACTGTTCAGCAGTGTGTGGACCAGGTGAAGCAAAACGCAACGTGTCGTGTATCCGACGAGAAGACGGATTGGATGTCATAGTGGATCATAAATATTGCTTAAATCAGATCGCACCTCCAGAATCAGTGCCCTGTGTGGTAAACGTCTGCCCCATTGGGTGGGAATCTAAGCGAGAGGTAAAGTCAAGGGGACAGTGACTTTTTCCAGTTCCTTATTGCATTTAATGTCTAACGAGTCTCATTCTTGACCAGGATCAGCCTAGTTTGAAGTCTAGCTTGATGCCACGTTCCAGACAGGCTGCTGTGTATGTCTGGAGTCCTGTTGTCAGCCAATGTTCCAGGACCTGTGGGAATGGTGAGCAGAACACTGTAGCCAGAGGCACTTCAGAAGCAGAACATCCTCTTTTTGGTATAATAACTGAAGGCCTGATGCTCGTGCATGAAAGGAACCCTACAGGTGTGGTTTTCTTGTGTGGATCACCAGACGGGACAGGGGGTTCCTGACTTCCACTGTGACACTTCCAGCAAACCTGATCCTTACTTTGAGATGTGTGCTGTTTATCCCTGCCCTCCAATGTGAGTAACTTTTTTTTAATTACATGTAATCATGAATTTATAAGTGTTTTGTTACTGCTATGCTTTGCATAAATCCTATCATACGCTTAAGATTAAGAGATGCTCAACACATTTAGATTAACACCCACATTTTTTTGGGATTTTCATCTGTAAAAAAACAACAAGGATTAAAATCCATGAATTATTCTCCTTTTATATTTTAGAATAAAGAAAAGAGTGACTCTTTGATAAAGGATTGTATCTACAGCTGTCCTATTATTAATGTTTGTTCTTATATATTTAACATTATGTCTATCTGCATGCATACAGTACAGTTCTTTTCCCTAATCTATTCTATTCTATTCTTTTTTTTTTACTTTCTTTCTTCAAGAATTTTCACAACAAAAGAATATTCCCTGAGCCGAGAGCAATGAAATCAATAACAGAAATACTAATGCCACATATACAATATTTCAACATAAATGCAGCACAATAAACCAGATCACCTGAAACTTTGAATACCCTAAAAGAAAAAACTTGCACATACACACTACCATATGTATATATACATACACACAAACCCACACCCGTCCCCTTCCCCTCCAGGGTGCTCACCCACAGGCCAAAAATACAACATAAAGTAAACAAACAGCAAAAAAAAAAGACATATATAATATATACACACATACATGTATACATACACATATATATACATATACAAATACATACCTTAGGACTACCGATGACAGAGCAGATTGCAATTTATTAGAATAACTGGAGCCCCAAAATCATACTATTCTATTCTATTGTATACTATTGTGTTTGCCATGTTTCCCTTAACAACCAGGTGGCGCTCTAAGCAAGGAGTGTGCAGTGTAACGTGTGGAGGAGGGGTAGCCAAGAGAGTGCTGTATTGTGCTCGAGAGGCAGATGGCGAGGAGGAGGTGTTGGAGGATTACAGCTGCAGTGGCTTTCCCAAACCAACAGCCGTGATTTCATGTAATACTCACAGCTGCCCTGCAAGGTGAGATGCACACAAGCAATGTTATTTTTTGCAAAGGCCATAAGTCATCTCACCATCAGTGTGACTTGTACAGGTGGAAGGTATTCAAGACATGGCCCTGCTCTGTATCCTGTGACCTGGGTGTAGCTGAGAGGAATGTGTCTTGTGTCCAATTTATCCATGGTAAAGAGAGCGTGGTGCCAGATGATAGCTGCAGGGCAGCCGTCAAACCTGCCATCACGGTGCCTTGCCTAGTGCAAGTGTGCACCTTCAAGTGGGAGGTGAAGCCATGGAGCCAGGTAGATCTGATTGGAATAGGATGACCAAGACTGGTTCTGATCAATGTGACTAAAAGCTTACATGATTTTTTTTTTTCTTGGAGCCATTTAGTTACAGAAAAATACTCTAATAATTACAATAAAGCATATGCATGTCCTGTTTTAATTCATGCATTTCAACAGTATGTTATTTAGATCGAATATATTGTTCCTCTGCATGCTGTTCATCATCTAAACATCTTGTTTGTCTCTGCACATAATCCTGTTTACACTGTGACCTGTGCTCACCCCTCATGTTGTTTCTCTAAGTGCTCAGCACCCTGTGGATATGGTATCCAGTCCAGAGCCGTCTTCTGCATGGGCCCCTCGAAGCCCGAGCCCCTCAGCCCCCTGTTTTGCATGCACATGCCCAAACCCATCACCATACAGGGCTGCTACAAAGGCAGCTGTGGAGCTGTGGCCTTGAACAAAACCTCCCCAATTATGAGAACAAACCTCACAGAAAAGCGTCTCCCATCTCCCGTTCCGGTACATGAGGATGACGGCGTCAGCGTTGTTCCTCCGATTCCAACAGAGGCCGTAACCATCCCACAGACTACCACAGCCATGCCGATGACAAAGTCTGGTGAGGTCCCTTCCATTATCTTTACCAGATAAAGCATGATTACTATTGCAGTGTTTGTGTTTTTCAAGGTCCATGTGGACAGCTACTCCTGGAGGAATCGGGCATTGTGGATTTAAAGGATGCGCCGAGCAGATGCACGGTGTCGATAGGTCGACCCCTTGACGAGGTCATCAGTGTTAAAGTCATATCCAGTTCTTTGGATTGCAGACAAAGTATGTTTTTAACTCAATATTTCTACACTCTGATATATATACAAAGAGAAGTCTGTAAATGTGTGTGTTTTACAGGGGACTATGTAGCATTTTTTGATCGCCTGGCCTTTGTGAGGAAGTGCGTTCAAGCAGCAGGCAGTGAACTGACCAGCAGAACCAATGTCCTGTTTGTTCGCCAAAATCTGCTCACCCGTGGAAATGGGGTTGTGTTTACCTATAGATCGGAGAGGAGTATGAAAAGGAGCCATCGTCAGGGTAAGGAAACCGCTGAAAGCATAATGCCTCAGTTTAATTGACAAACTAAAAACAAGAATTGGACGACCTACAGAATTTTATTTTTGTCCCTGAACACTAACAAAGCAGATCGGCCAGTCGGCCTCAGCAGATGGCCTCTCTGGTTCTGCTGGAGATTTCTTCCTGTTAAAAGGGAGTTTTTCCTCTCCACTGTCGCTACAAGCATGCTTAGTGTGAGAGATTGCATTATAGTCAATGAGTCGATGCAATCAACTGGTTTTCCTTAGATAGAAAACTTTGAATCAATTTGACTGTATGATCTGGTGAACTGTAAAGTGTCTTGAGGTGATGTGTTGTGAATTAGCGCAATAGAAATAAACTAAAAACTGAAAACAGGTTTAGCACAGTGGTGAAGAGTTTGGGGTGGTTGTTCCTCTTGATTAGAATCACAGTATTTGCTCTTTTTGGTGGACTTTGAATGTTAAACTGATCTCTATGTTTCTCCTTGAGATAAACATTAGTGTTCATGGTTGTTTTTATGTCCATGTTGACCTCCGCTGAACTTAGCCCAGGGTGTATTCTCTACCTTCCCCGGACATGCTATATTTGCTGTATGTGACATTCAGGACTTTCTAGGAACTTCTCACATTTACAGGTGCCACCTTTATGCTATTGTTTTTGTTTTTAGAAGGGCTTCTATGCTGCATGAACTTAAATTAAAAAGTGAAATCAAGGCAGAATTCTACATTTAAGGAACTGAAAATACTTTCAAATTTTCCAACTTTCAAATACTTCCCATTCCTAAGGGGCGGACCCGTTCTTCTGCTTCAAATTGCATTGTTTCTAAGCCAAAACAAGTTTTTTTGGTCCACTTTATAAAGCTTCGAACCCAACACTAATTCTGACATTTTGAATTGAAAAAGCTTCCTGGATGGGAAGCGAAACGTCATCAAACTTTGAAACAAAGTCCAGTGGATTGTTTTTTTTTAACCTTTTTGGAAAGGTGATGTATGTAAACACCTGAATTTGCTAATACATTGTAATTCATGTATTGATCTAATATATTTTCAGACATTGAAAACATGTGTCCTGTGTTTTATTTTATTTTTTTCAGCATTTGTAAATATCTGTTTCCAGTAGAATACAACCAAAATTTGGTCATCTTCTCTCAGCCAGTGAAGGTTTGTCCCTCAGGGGCAGAGAAGCCATAAAGCTTCAGATCTTCATACAAACTGACATTATTGAAGCTACTTAAACTCATATTTTTAAAAAGAGGAAGAAAACAAATTGTAACAATATTTTTTACTGTTGCTCCATACTTTCCTAAAACCTATTTACAATTCCATTATGCTGTAATGATTTTCTCATAAAAAAAAAAATGTAAATATTTCATTGTAAATGTTACAATTTTAGTTTTCTTTAGTGTTTGTATTTTACTAATTGTTGCATATTAAGCCCAAAAGAATGAAATGTACAAATATAAATCATGGAATAAGGTTTGGATTTTAAATAGGATAGAATGTAAAAGTCCTGAGAGGGATTTACCCCCGTATTATTAAAATAAAATGACTGTAGAAGTGAATAAGAGTAAAATTTCATAGAGGGGATTCTTTAATGTGTTTTTCCCTTTTTAATTTTAAAGTTTCCCACAATAATGTATTATATTATTAAATACAACAGGAAAAAGTTAAAAAAAAAAAAAAAAAAAAAAAAGCTCTTCCAATGTTTTGAGCAGATCCAACCGCCTTTGACAGGATGTGACGAACAGTAAATTAACTGTTTCTTTGCTTCTCCACACAGATTGCGACATTCAGCTTTTTTCCCCCAGCGGCATTTTTGAGAATCCAGTTACGTCGAACGCCAGCCACACCTGCCGAGTGCTCATCAACGCCCCTCCTTCAGTGAAGATCAGGATCCAGGCGCTGCACATAGGATTAGTATTCAACACCACCAACTCCCAGTCTACATACATTATGGTGCAAAGCAGCTTTGTTTTTAATGCCATGTACGCTCGCTTACTGGGGATATGGATGAGGAACAAACTGTGTTATTACTGTGTTTTTTCTGTCCAGATCCGGGACATGGACGTCCTAAAGACCACCGTGTTTAACGGCCAGCAGCTGTTCCTGTGGCGCTCCTCTGGAAATATGGCGGAGGTTGAATTTCATGGTGATTACCTGTATTCCAAAGGGACCTTCAGAGCTGAATATTCCTTTGTGCGTCTTTGATTGAAGATATAAACTCTTAAGAATAGATTAAATATTATATGTGTAACATTTCTTGAGTTTACAGTTTTCAAAATAATCATTTATTGTATTCAGTAGAAAAAAGTATTTAATTTAATTTACATACCTAATATATAAGCTTTTTTTTGGTGGGGGGACAAAAAAGAAACACAGAAGGAAAGGCAACCAGGATCTGTTAGGATCCACATGGGACATTTAAAATATAGACCACAAAAAACTCTTTGCAACATTACAATCGCTTTAACAACATTTCAAAATACACATCTATCATAGAGCATTTCTCCTTTTAAAGGCAGTGCATTTAAAGTCACACGTTTTGCGTTTTCCACAAACCCTTTGGTAACAGGTTTCCTCTTAATTCTCCTTTCCCAGCGTGGTGCTCGGCCAACGACGCTGGCAACGACAAGATTTAGTTTCAGCTTCATGCACACGCGCCGCGCTCATGTGTGGGATCACTGTCTGGTCCCGGCTGTTTCTTCCAGGAGAACTCTCATGTCCAACAAGGCTTTCTTTACAGCCTGGGCGAAGTTGGCAGCGTTTGTCTCCTCACAGCTGTTGAAGGCCGTGATGGCGATGTTGATATGCTCATCCATGGGATTGTAACACACCCCGTAGCCATCTGGCACCATTGGACCGAAACACATCACACAATCCGTCTTGGAACCAACCTGTATAAAGAGATGCAAATAAATGAATAAATTGGAATGTAAACAGTCTTTTTCTCAGAAATAATAGAGTGTGATGTTTTTTCTTCATACCTGGCTGGTATAGAGATTAAAATGATGAGCTACTGCATATGATGTATCCATAAATATCTCAGGCATGGAGGTCAGATCTTCAATACTCTGCATTTTTAGCCCAAGCAGATGCCTGTCGATCCCTTGTGCATTAATTGCCTGCAAATAAAAAGGCCACGTATGGTGGGGAAGTTAATAAGTAGTTAAAGAAAAAAATACAAATAATGAATGAGTTTTTAATAAAAGCTGCAGTTCTTACATTAAGTGTGTTTTCCTTGTGAGTTTGAACGGCCTTCTGCAGCAGCGCCACCCGCTCTGTGTTCTGTTAGGAACATTTACTGCTCAGTAAAACATGGAGTATTTACTTTGCCTTGGGAAGTATTTATATACCGACAACATTGTCACAACTTAAACCTCTTTTAGTGGGTTTCATGTGATCTAAACACAGTGTCTTAATCTGAGATTTTAAAATAGATTCCAGTTAAAATCTTTTATCACATAAGGAATAGAAAGAAATCTTCAGACCAGTGTATAATGGCCAACCAGCACAAACAAACAGCAACCTGAGTCCACTTTGACATCCCGCCCAATTTGATGCTGGTGTGCTAAAAGATTTCCTTATTTGTCACACCAGAGCCAAAGTATAACTTCACATGATGCTCGACATTCCTCCTTTTAGGGAAGAAAATGCTTCTTGTAAGAGTAGTCAGAAAATACATCTTGTTTCCCGTAATTTTACGACTTTATGCTAGTAACGTTACGACTTTATTCTTGTAATTTTATGATTTTATTCTTGTAATGTTACGACTTTTCTCTCTTAATTTTACGAGTTTATACTTGTAATTTTATGACTTTATTGTCGTAATTGTATGACTTTACTCGCGTAATGTTACGACTTTATTCTCGTAATTTTACGACTTTATGCTAGTAATGTTACCAGTTTATTCTCGTAATTTTATGACTTTATTCTCGTAATTTTACGACTTTATGCTAGTAACGTTACGACTTTATTCTTGTAATTTTAGGATTTTATTCTTGTTATGTTACGACTTTTCTCTCTTAATTTTACGAGTTTATACTTGTAATTTTATGACTTTATTCTCGTAATTGTATGACTTTATTCTCGCAATGTTACGACTTTATTCTTGAAATAGAAATACTCCGTTGTAGTCCTAGAAATTATAGCGATAAACAATTGCATTGTCATTTGTTAGCTTTTGCATTCGCAATTAAGACATTTTGTTTCCAAATCTCACCTAGAGTGTGCAAACGTCAATTATAAACTTAATTAAAATTTATCATGTGAAAAATTTTTATTATGCGAATAATTTTACAGGCCAAATAAGAAATAAACAAAGCTGCAAATATGGCTGAAACAATTAATTGGATTAATCGTGAATGGTGATTAATTGATTATTGAAATTATCGTCAACTAATTTAGTAATCGATTAATCGTTAACTGGAGTATAGAGACTGTACAACATACCTTTAGCTGACAGAGCGACCAACACAGAGCAGTAATTATACCAAAACTGAAAATATATAAACATTTTGCATTTAAGATGGGAAGAAACGTTTTGTCTGTCAATATGTTCTATCCAGAACTCCTGAAGTGGAAAAGTTTGAGTTTCACCTGGTTTGATATGGTAAAAAGTCTTTAAAGAATCTATGGCGATTCAATTATTATTCGATTAATGAAAAAAACTAATTGAAAGAATAATCGATTTGCAAAATAATTGTTAGCTGCAGCCCTGGTTGCAAACATATCAAAATATGCCTTTTCAACTAAACTGACCCAGTAATGAGAATAATAATCAAATAACAATCGAAGAGTAAATATCTACGGTAACTAGAGGAACCCATGGGGGACAAATTAGTTCCAGACGTCACAAATTGGGGCTTTATGTAAGACTGGGACAGGGCTTGGCTGTTAATAGCATTTGCAATGTATCAGCAATTTAATGAAACAATTTTTTGAATTGCAGGTTTTGTGTCATTACATTCAACAAGAGTAAGATGCAGACTACTGACAGACCACTGACAGAAGATCAGAGAGAAAAAAAAGCCCTTTTTGACATACAAACCAAACAAAATCTAAGTCATTCAGGTCATGGCAACAACAAAACAGGGCGTTTTTCTGAAAACGGTTTGACACCTACAGTATCTAGGAGTCTTTGGCATTTCTGTTGGCTTACACTACTCGACAAACTAGCCTTAACATTGCTTTTACAACTTAGAAAACACGTTGGTGGGAGCTTAATGCAAATGACTTAAAAAAGCTTAGCAAGCAGATAAAGGTCGACTCTGCTCTTGGAATTCCTCTAGAACCTCCAGAGATTATTTCACATAAAGGAAATTTTCATAAAGTGAAGAACATGATGGACAACAGTGAGCATCCTCTTCCTTAGATTTAAACAAAAACTGAGGGTCTTCAGTCAGAGGCTCCTCCAGACCCAATGCAAGACAGACCGCTACAGAAGATCCTTCCTGCTTAGAGCTATCAACGCCTACAACAACTGATTAAAGATAAAACGCTATAAGTTAGAGCAATTTTTTATTTCCTTGATAAAGTATTTTTTATTTGAGTATGAAATACAGATCAGGCTTAGATCCTAATTAGAGTTCGTGCCAAGACTTTAAAATGATTGTCATACTTGGTTGTTTCCAAATGATGGACAGAGAAGCCAGTAGTGATAAATGAAAAAAACTCTGCTCCTAGTTTAAAGGATGGGTGTAGTATTGACTCATGGGAACTTTATACATGCATCCCATTTGTAAACAATAAAAAAATATACATATTTTTCCTTCCAAACAAGCAGCATTCTGTTCCATGCTGCTGATGTGAAAAGCTTTGAGACTTCCGGCTGTAACAACAGCAAAAGGAGGCAGAAAGCATATTCAGACCATACTTCACAAGCTATTTATTCATTTTAAGTTATCATATTTTTATCATATTTACTTTTTCTTTCTTCCTTTTAACTGTAGGCTACTTTGATTTTTACCACCCAAATAACAAACCCAATAAAAAAAACATGAAGTTTCTGGCTGTGATGAGACAAATTGTTTTTGAAAGGCACTTCAGGTAAAAAACAAAACATATCCTAACAGCTCCTCCCATACCTGCACAGACGGTTCTTCCATTGCCTGAACAAACTTTAGTGAGTCCACAGTAGTTGAACGGACTGCCTCTGTGCGTCCAAATTTAAACATTCTCAGCGTTGCACTCTCATATGTAGGACAGCAAACATTATACATCCTAAAACATCAGAGTCACACACTTAATATGTATGTTACACATGATTTCTGTTGCATTTCTTTGTCTTCCAAGCAGAGCATGTGAGCGGTAGGGATGGGAATCGAAAACCGGTTCCTGTTCAGAACCGGTTCCGTATTTTCCGATCCCATGGCATCGTTTGGCAGCTCGCTGAACGATTCTTTTTTCGATTCCCGCAGCACCAGAGCCTAGAGCGCCGGCTCTGGAGAGCACGACTTACGTCACGTTTTTTACGTAAGTTACGCAAGTTACGCAAGTTGGAAGAACTATTCGAGGAGGAAGACAACGAGCTGCGGTCACTTTGTGAATCAAAGCCCCGTCTTTCCTTAGCCCAGAGGGTAGATCAGGAAATCCAGCTCTATAAAAGCTTGCCCTCCATCCCCTGCAGGGATAGCGCCACACTGTGGTGGTGGAACAAGCAAGATACGCTGCCCTTGCTATCTGGACTAGCTGAAAACTACCTCTGTGTGCAGGCTTCCTCCACCCCATCTGAGAGGGTATTTTCCACGGCTGGCACCATAAGCCCTGAAAGATCCCGTATCCTTCCAGAAAAAGCAGATATGCTCATCTTTCTGCAAAAGAACTGTTAATTTTCCCTACTACTGTTTTATAATTAGTATTTTTTGTTATTTAAAATAGGTTATTATCCCATCATTTGTTATTAGACATTTTTGGTTATTAAGTTTGTTCTTGTATTCATTTTTCATTTAAACACAGATGTTACTCCAGTTTCACATTTCCTGTGGACATCTTGATCTTGTTGAGTTTGTAAGATTGTGCAATAGTTAAGTAAACAAAGTTGATTCTGATAATCAAACTGTTTGTTCTCCTTTTTCCCCCAAATTGGAATCGAAAAAAGAATCGATAAAGAATCGAATCGTTTAATAGAATCGAAAAGGGAATCGGAATCGTGAAAATCTTTTCAATTCCCAACCCTAGCGAGCGGTGGAGCGGAGTGGAAGAAAGATGGTGGAGCGCAGAGAAGTTTTCAATTCAAAGGCCGGAGCGAGGATTTCGCTCCGCTCCAGTTTGCTCAGATGTGCTCACAACGTCAATTAATTAATAACTGTTGGATTATAAAGTTGTAAAATAACATTTATTTGATTTAAGTATGATAAAAAGTGAGATAAAATATTACAAAAACATACACTAACTATACTTAACAATACAGAGTGGATTTACATAATCTAATGATTTGCAATGGGATGGGAAGTAACCTTTTTTGATGTAGTCTAGTACAACCAACCACCGGGCCGCGGACCGGTACCGGTCCGTGGGTCATTTGGTACCGGGCCTCACAGAAAAAAAGTATATATATAAATATATATATATATATATATATATATATATATATATATATATATATATATATATATATATATATATATAATTTATCGACGATCAGAGTCTAAGTGATGTTTTATTTTGAAAAATATAAAATAATTGCTGTATTCTCTCCCATCAGTCGGTGCATCTGTGCCTCTTGACACAGGTTAATTCAGTTCAAGACTCATCCTATCTATAACATTCTATCTTTGTGAAGCGGAATTTTCTGCGGTTACAGCCACCAAAACAAAGCTACGGAGCAGACTGGACATCAGGAGCACACTTCGTCTGTCATTTTCTCCGATTACGCCTAGATGGGACCGGCTTGTTGTTTTATTTTTATGCTGTTTGTATTTGATTTTATCATTTTACTTGATCGTATCGACACACACCCCACCCCCCACCCCCCCGGCCGGTCTGTGAAAATATTGTCCGACATATATCGGTCCGTGGTGCAAAAAAGGTTGGGGACTGCTGGTCTAGTAAAATAAATAAATTAAATAGAAAACATGGGGCAACATGAATGGAGCGAGGTGTTACGTTCACAGCTAGGAAACAGTGCGATAATTTAACAGCCAGTTAAATAAGACAATGCACATGTATCGGTCACATCATTAAATCAAATGCTGTGTGTCCCAGGGCCATGGCATAATGACATGAAGGAAAAATGTCAGAACATGCCATCTCCTGAAAATTTGAGTGAACGTGGAGCGATTTTGCCAGAGCGACAGGAAAATTAAGGTGAGCGCGGAGTTGATTTTAAGCGGAGGATCATGGCGCAACTTTGAGGCGGAGCGAATGAGCGAACTTCCTCCTGAACGGGGAGCGGGAATTGCACGGCGCTCCGCACCATTCACATGCTCTGGTCCTAAGGAGAGGTGTCTTACCTAAAGTAGGCTAACTGTAGAGCCATTTGCACAAACGCATCTGGACTCAGCCGATGCTGCTTTGGCACATTTCTTCCAAAATGTGAAAATGCAATAACCTTTACATCTAAGTCCTGCACCATTCTGTGAAAACCAAAACAACGGAAGTTAGAAAATTATTATAAACTCAATAGAACACAAACAAACCCTAGCAGTGTACGCACATGTTCATATTTTGCTTGGCTTTCTCAATGTCTCTCTTGATCTCGGGTGTGATGTTAAAGCGAAGCTTCTGAGGCATGGGCAGGGGGACCATAGGGGAGCGAACCATCTCAGGTCTCTGCCTGTTGAAGCATATAAAAACACCAGCTCAAGCTCGCTCGAACGGAAACAGGAGAAATCTGAAAACTCATTAGAAAAAAAATACGTACATGTATTTAACCACGTAATCGATTAGAAAGACGATGGGTGGACCTTCGGTGGGAGCATGTTCATAGACCAGTCCACATGTACCGTCTTCACCCACAATGAACTGAGGATGATTTGAAAGAACATAGAAATTACTAGTTGTTTAACATCAGAGACATTGAATAATTCTTAGAAATTCACCTGCAGTGTTTTATCAAACCAGCGGTTGCCACTGTTCCAACGCGTCCCTCCTCCATGGAGGATCTGGGCCGCCACGCGGCTCATATACATCTCATCGGAAACTCTGAGCATCGGAGCGTCCAAACACACGGTAAAGATGCTCTTCTGGATAGCACGGACCGAATCCTTATTGGTCCTGTCTGAGGTTGCAAGAAACGTTTTATCTAAACATGCTTTTTAACAAAAGATTCACCTAGAAAAAGGCTTTTTTCCTCCATCTCAGCTCACCCTTTATCAGGTTGTTGTAAGCTTTCCCCCAGGTGTTGCGGTGTTGTGACGTCAGGATGCCGATTGGTTCTTTATTAGTTTGTAAAGAAGAATTCCAGATCTTCTCCAGCTGCATGGTGATCTGATCTACTGTCAGCGGGGTGCCATCGCTGTTATAAACATCTAAAACAAAGAACTGGACCAGAAAAGATCAGTCAGTATAAATACAGGTCCAGATTCCATTCCAATTTTACCCCAAACTTTTCATTTTGCAACTTTGGAAATTTAAAAAGTTAAAGACGATGCAGAGGTTTAGATTTAATACAACGTACCTGAAAGTTGTGAACCACGGTGATGTGACTAGGAGGTGTAGCACCTGCAGAGTAATGCACCACTGTATCTCTCTTCGGACCGGGGATACGACACGAGGACAGAATCTGGTAATACTGGTCCATGCATAAAGGCTTCCCATTCAAATACTGAACAGGCAGTGTTTCGCTGCAACACAGCAGATTTATTAATTAGCAGTTTTTAAGACCAAACCTATCTTTTTGTTATACAGAAGCTAATTTCCAGCAAACTCACGTGTCAACCATTCTTTTAAAGTCCAAAACCCCTGCAATGAGTTTGGCAGCAAACCTGCAGAGAGGAAATTTAACGGTAATCTTAACAGGAGCTGATACAGAATAAATACATAGTAATTCATGTTTAATAGATGCACTAAAAACTAAAGGTCTTTTTTTTAAATAATAACAATTTTTGCCAAATATATCTTATATATGTTAGTGATCCTTTTTATTGTCTAGGAGATGATAAGCAAACTATGGCCTCCACATTCACTGCGCATCCTATGTGTCACCGCAGTTAAAAACAGCTGAGCCCTTAGCAGACTTTAAATAACCAGCATGAAGGGGGAAAGACTCAGCGAGGGTCAGATTTCAATTCCAACTTGTTTATACTGGAAGTACAATGTGGGTGTACAGGTTTCTCCAGTAGAGGTGTTAAACTTAAACTTAGAAAGTACTGAAGTTTAAAATTCAGAGCTGTGTCTGTAAAGAAAGTTTTTTTTTTCTCTTTTCTTTATTTTGACACTTGTTTAACAGAGAGTTTTTTCCAGGTCCTCACCGCATCTGGCCTTGTCGATCCTCAAAGTGCATTCGAGGCAAGGCGAGTCCGGTGCTGGTGTAGACGGCCAGGGGCATGCGACAGTCCAGATATGCTGTTTGCATCCACCACTCTGACAGCTAAACACATCAAAAATCAGACAGCATCAGGTGACATGTTTGAATGGACCGCTCCAAAAAGGTTGACTGATGGAAGGATCCAAAATTATTCATAGAAAACAACAATAGAATCAGTTTTCCACAAAGCATGAAAGGGAACGCAGGAAATATCTGAAGGATGCTCTGTAGAGTGAGAGTGGAATGAAACGTTTTGGCCGACACAAAATGATGTGCATGGCTGAAAGCTACTAAGCGTATGGCCGAAAGGTACAAATCCCTCAGTGCAGCGTCTCTTCACTATAAAACATGTGGATGGCGTCTTAATGCTGTGAAGATGTTCCTTTTTTCAGCAGGGACAGAGACCCTGTGGGAGGAGCTAAAAGCAAGAAAAGCCTGAACAGAAAGCCTTGCAGAGTCTTGAGACCATTTAGTTTAATTCATGGGTGTTTCGTCATGCACCAAAATGGTCAGGTAAAAAAAAAATGCATATAACCATAAATGGTAAAAGCTTTTTTAACGTTCCCAACAATTAATTAAAAAAATGTCCCGCAAAGGATTAATAAAGGAAATCTGATTCTGATTAAGTACAGCACATTTCAGTTAAACATATAAAGTGGTCAGATTTTGTTGCTGATGTGAATAATTTTAGATCCAAACAAAGATTTATTAAACAAGATTCAGAGGAAGCTAGATTACCTCTAAATTTTACTAAAGTAACATTTTTTAGCCAAGTAAAAGCATAAAGTAATTATTGAAGAAATTACTCAAGTACCAGTGATACTTGATACTGAATGATTGTTGGGTCATAATTTCTGATTATGACCCAATTTCTGATTTAATGTTAATAATGTATGATCCATGCCTTTATCTCATCAAGGTTGGACTACTGTAATGCCCTCCTCTTTGGGACCTCTGGTAAAAACCTGCAAAAGCTCCAGCACATTCAGAACTGTGCTGCCCGGGTCCTGATGAGGAGGCGCAAATACGACCATATCACTTCTGTTCTTAATTCACTTCATTGGCTACCGATCAAACATAGAATACATTATAAACTCTGTCTGCTTACCTATCAATGCATCCATGGAGTTGCTCCTGCCTATCTCAGTGAACTCCTCTCATCGCACGCTACTACTCGAAGGCTTCGATCCTCCACCTCCTTTTACTGCCTGCATCAACCTAAGACCAAACTTGCCACTATGGGGGATAGGGCTTTTCAGGCAGTAGCTCCACGGCTCTGGAATGCCCTTCCAGAGTCCCTGAGAGCCCCACAAGGTGTGGAGGCCTTTAAAAAAGGTCTTAAGACTCACCTTTTTAAACAGGCCTTTTAGAACTGTAAGTTTTGTTTTAAATTGTAGTTTTAATTGTTAGTTTCAATTGTTAGTTTTGGTACCACTTGGTGCAAGATGTATTACTGTAAGCCCTACAATTTATTCTTTATTTTTATTATTACTATTATTATTATTTTTATCTTTATTTTTTTTCTTTTTTCTTTTAATCTCTGTAGCACTTTGAGATTAAATTGTAGTTTTAATTGTTAGTTTCAATTGTTAGTTTTTGATACCACTCGGTGTAAGATGTATTACTGTAAGCCCTACAATTTATTCTTTATTTTTATTATTACTATTATTATCATTTTTATCTTTATTTTTTTCTTCTTCTTTTAATCTCTGTAGCACTTTGAGATTTCTTTGAAATATAAGGTGCGTTACAAATAAAATCTATTATTATTATTATTATTATTATGTAATCAGACAGAGATAAGTAAGTAAATTATTGCATTTCAAAGTAATAAAATAAAGGGAAAAAATACAAATAAAATTTCATCACAAATTCAGATCGAAGAAACCTTTTTTTCTAAATCAATCTTTTCAATTTAAACTCATAAAACCAATCCTAACATCCTAAAGTTCTTTTTTTTTTTATGTGTATTTTCTCAATAAAAACTAACTAACTAAATGGAACTAGTTACTACCCACCTCTGGAAGGATTAAAAAATATATATTGTTAACTATTGTCCTAATTAAAATCTAAAGTTTCTATTTGCATCAACCATAATTGCCAGAAGGACTGATTTGTGTTAGTTTCAAACAGCAGGTCCCAAATGGGCTGCAATTTGAAGACTTCTGGTTTAAACTGAAACATATTTGGCCTAGTCAAAGTCAAAGCCTTAATTAATTGAAAACATGTGGCAAGAATTTACTTATTACAAGATTACCCAAAACCAAACTAACCTACCTTGAGTAAAAAAAAAAACTGTGAAGGAGTTTCCTAATTTAATGTTTAATGGAGATAAATCCCGATATATGCAACAATTAATTTTTTTTCTGATCCTACTGTTAAATGAATTAACCATACACCTTGCTGTTTGATTTAAGGCATCATGCTTGATAAAATCCTTTAATAAAAAGTTAACAAAATGAACAAAGATATAAATCATCTCTAGCTGCTTCGTGTGCTCAGCACCGTTTGTTAATCAATCGTAAAAGTCACCAGATTGCTGATCCTGTATTGCTGTGTCGGACATCAATAAAAATTGAAAAGACTGGATTGGAATGATGGATGGGTGTCAATCATCAGATATCTGATCCAACTAATTATCCAATATCAGAGCTGATTTGATCGGTGCATCTCTAGGAGACTTAAGGCTGTAATTGCACCAAAAGGTGGAGACCACTGGGTATAGAGTTCATATGAACAGACATCACAGTGTTTACTGATTCTTTTTTTGAAATAATAAAAACTCTGTATCATTTTCCTTCCACTTAAACGTTAGACGTTATATTGTTGTATTGCAAGGAAACTTAAAAAGGTTCAAAAGGTATGAATACTTTTGTGAGCCCCTGTAAGTGGGCTACAATGGGAGCATACTGTAAGTCACATATACTGTTCCAACTAAATGAGGTGTTTTACTGACACTATATAAACATAAGCAAAGCCAAATATCTACCCAGTTATCCGTCTTCCTCGCACGTCTCTCCAGTTCCTTCTGGAGCCTTCCTCCGACGCCGCCCTTTAGGAAGTCCTGTATTAGCATCTGGGTGTGCTCCAGCTCTTCCTCGCTGACAATAGGCTCCAAAGCAGCCAGGTAGCGCTCGCATGTTTGCTTCAAAGGTGGAACGGGCAGCTTTGGCAAACCCTCCTGATGCACAAAGGTCCTTTCTGGTATCTGGGTTACCGTTCTGAGTAATCGGCATGGATTTGCAATGCCCGGACGCAGCTATAAGACAGGAAAGTTAAAAGACACTTTCACTCTATATTCAGTGAGAAACTGTCATAGATATCTAACTCCATTTGTACCAGTTAAGTAAAGTCTGACAGGCCCCAAAGATCTAAGGTGTCAACATTTTGGTGTGTGCATGCCTCCCTGCAAGAGTGTTAAACCAGAATTTGTGCTCGAATTTGTGAAACAGCTATTTTAATTATCCATAGAGATATAGTCTGGTGTGAGCTGACTGAATCTGTGAAAAATGACACCAAGCCAACTAAGTGGAGCTGTTCCAGTGTTTGTTTGGAGCCCTGAGGTTATGCTCCTCCAGCCCATAAATAGAAAGTTGAAACTGCAGAACTGTGTGATGGTGCAAAAGCAAACAGGCTTGAAAGCACGAAATAGATCTGTGCCGCTTGTGTTAACATGTGAGTGCCATGTTCATAAAAGAAATGGTGCCATGTTGTAATTCAATTTGCTTTAAGTGAGTTACAAAATAAACCTTTGATTGACACCATTAAACCTAAAGATGAGAATCCAAATGTCTAACAGTGAAAATACAAACTGCTTGTAATGAAAGAATGCTTTTGCAAATATTTTTTTTTTTATTAAAAAAGGTTTTAAAGACAACATTTCAAAAAAAAAAATTACAAACACCCTTATTTGGCATCAATTAATGTCAATGGCACCTCAAGACGCGGTGCAGTCCAGCTGATCAGGATATATTTGTAAACACAGCAGTCAATAGAGATTTGACTCGAAAACATAAGCGTTTCTTTTCAGTTGAAAAAGGTCCAATCTTTTAGTCAGAGCAATAATTTGACCTCGTCGACGCCAGCCGACACATCGGCCATGATACTTAAAACTGTGAAAACAGGGCAAACAAGGATGTAAGGAGGACAATGATTGTCTTCAGAAACAGGTTCCTGTTTGAGTTTTTGTATGTTTTTGTTTTTATTATTCATTCCCCACATATGAAATTAGAAAATCTTTAATTTGTCTTGCATTGTTTTGAATAGGTTCAGACGTAATGTCACTTATTCAACTTTCTCTTTCTTACTCATGAGGAATATTGGTCCTAATATTTCCCTCTAGCTTCCAGTGAATGTGTTTGCATAGACTGTTCTGCAGATCATGCTCCATGCAGTGGCACGGGAAGGGGGGTGCTGCGGGAGCTGCAGCCTCCCTCGTCATAGCATCAGCCCCCCATGGTGGGGGGCTGTGGAGTAACATAATATTGTACTTAAAAACATTAAAGTATTTATGTATTTATTTTTAAAAAGACTGTGTTTGATATGGGATTAAAATGATGGGCTGTGTATAAGATATAAACTAATGATTCATTATTTTAATATTTCATAAAAAACTAGGCTACTCCCCCGGAAGGTTCCGCCACCTCACATTCATGGCTTGGCTAGCAATAGGCAGCAGAAACGTATTTCTGTCTATTTCGAGGTAAGAAATGGTTTTAATTCCCCTATACTGCCGCATTTAGCGTTTATTATGTGCCTATTCGTCTTAGTCCTGTGGCTGAAGAAGTCTACGCTAGAATAAGGCTGCATATCACTATATATTATGTCTGTATTAAGCTATTTAGTGATAAAATATGAAATTATTTTTTTTTGGTGTGTTTTTTGTTTCAGATATGAAATCATTCCCCCATATCCATAGTCGAAGGGACTTTCAAGACGTTCAATGCTCAGTTTAGGCGATATTTAGGCCATGTTTTATTCAAGTATTCCTGATCCTGTTGATTGGGAGCTGTTGTTTGTTTTGAATGATTAAAAGAGAAGAAATAAAGTTTAAAATGTTCATCCTTTGTTCCGATGCATTTTAAATGGCAGTATTTGTCGACAAATGTAGGCCTACAATATTATGTTAAAAACGTCAGCCACAGCCCTCAACATAATGACGTCATGTGTTTTCCAACCCAGCCATCAGCCCCCCTTGCTTGAAACAGCTTCCAGCGCGCCTGGCTCCATGGGGCTAACAAGTGGGATTGTGTTTTTTTCCCTCTGGCTAGGATTTTGGCAACTGCAGTGTGTTGCAGCAGTTCTACAGTAAGCATTACTGGGACTGGGATAATTATCTCTGTGGTTGAGATAAACTCAGGATGTGTTTTTTATAAAAACACCACTCGGATAGCTCAACAGTGATCTTTGATGACCTGGAATTTTCAGTTTGCTCTTGTCCTATTCCTAAATACCTTCAGTTTGTTTTGTTATAGCTGATTTTTTTCCTCAAATCCAAACAGCGGCATTTCTGTGGGCTTAAATGCTGATAGATTACAAAATAGTAAATAAGTTTAGATGAGGGATTTGATTAAAATATGCAAATAACCAATCAGATTTAAGTAGTTAACTTACAACTAAAATTTAAGAAGGATTCACTCAAACATTCAGGCCAGAAATAAACCATGGCTTTCAGCCATTGTTGGATAAAATATAGTCAATTATAGTTTGACTGATTTTATTTGTTTATTTTTCTTTCCTCTAGCTGTTATAGGATTACAGCTATAAATTAATAATAACAAAAACTGACGATTAAGTGGGTGTTACAACAAATTTTTCTCCATATTTATAAATATTTCACCTCTGTCAAGGTCGTGGGAATAAGACAGAACTTCCGGTTAAGATAGAACTTCCGGTTAACACTTTCAAAATAAAGTGCCTGTGACAGCTCTGAGTTCGGCAGTGTTATCAGTTTTATTTGTTCAGGCAAATGATGTAACCCACCGAATGTGGCCCCCCAACAAATGGGCTGTCTATCAAGAAAGCCAGGAGCTTTAAAAGTTGTTATAATTAGATTTTTAGCATCATACGCATCAAGCTAACGTTAAGTAATGCTATCGCAAACATGAAGCTAACGTTACGCAACGCCAGATGTTAAAATGACACTAGAATTAAAACTGACGGTCAGAATGTTCACACATTGGTGAACATTAAAAGGACAATTAAGTCCTTTTGGTTTTGACCTGTCACTGTCTTAATGTTGTCGTCCAGCGGGGCCCCACCCCCCTCCTCTCCTCCTCCACTCTCAGTCCCGTAAACAACAACAAAACCTCCCGCGGCTGCTTTAACAGAATAAATCCAAACACTTACCGCAGCTCTGACAAAAACCCCCAACATGGTGCCAGAAGATAGGCGCTGGAACAGCTGAGTGTCCGGGGAATACAGATGGGTAACCCCTGGGCTGTCATAGCTCAAGGACAGACATATCGTCTATTATCAGCTGCCCGCCCCCCCTTGGCCCTACCGAGCAAAGACACCTTAAAACTCTCCTTTTTAAGGTGGAGTCTGGTGCGTGTGTTACAACAGCATCATCTAACAGGCCTCCATAACAACAGGAGTCATATAATATTTCACTTGTATCAGTTATTTTTAAATTAAGCACAAATTTTTGGCATGACAGCATTTAATCGGGAACATAAAAGAAAAAATAAATATAATATTTACAATAATATTAATAATTATTATTATTATTATCATCATTAATTATTATTATTTTTATTATCATTATTATTATTGTTGTTGTTATTAATACTACTACTCCTACTACTACTACTAATAATAATAATAATAATAATATATCAATTATTATTGACATATAAATTGTATAAATGAAAATTATTATCATCATTATTGTCATTAATATATGAATTATTATTGACATATAAATCAATATATACACCATAATAACAGGAGTCATATAATATTTCACTTGTATCAGTTATTTTTTAATTAGGCACAACTTTATGGCATAACAGCATAAAATGTGGAACATAAAATAAAAAATAAATAAAATAATAATAATTATTATTATTATTATTGTTGTTGTTATTAATATAGTAATCTTTATTGGCATATAAATTATATAAATAAATGTTTTTTTTTATTATTAATATGTCAATTATTATTGACATATAAATCAGTATATACACCATAATAACAGGAGTCATTTCATATTTCACTTGTATTAGTTATTTTTAAAGTAAGCACAACTTTATGGCATGACAGCATAAAATGTGGAGCATAAAATAAAAAATGAATAAAATAATAATAATAATAATAATAATAATAATAAAAAAATATTATTGACATATAAATCAATATAAACCTGAGTCATTCTAGAGAGAGTGTAACCTATATTACTTATATGAATATTAGCATGATTGAAGAAAAACAAATTAAATCAGAAACAATTCTTAAGTTCAAACAGAATGTGTTCGACAGACAACAGAATGGTGCAAAATTAGTGGTATGTATTCATATTTACAATATTTACAACCAAATCATTCATGAAAGTTCATGAAGTCCAAGGTGTGTTCCTTTATACAAATAATGCAACCAGTTCCTAGTTGGGACGTAGAATGTGCTGTTTCCTTTGGTGTGTTTTATGGGTCTAGCTCGCCAGTCTGATCCACCAGACATTCCGAGTCCTGGAGACGGATTCTGGAACAAAATCCTAAAATGGAAACCTGGCCTGTATAAAACAGGCCTGATTGATCAATCTTCGGCATGGTCCATCAAAATACAATCTTAGAGACAAAAATCTACTAAAAAGTATATCTTTAACCTCTTACACCCTCAGGGGGTATAAATAAATTTCTGCCTGACAAAAACACACAAAAGTAAATCACTTATAGCCTCACAGCTATTAGATTTAAGAAGAAACTTTTGGTACCTCTGTAAAGGTAAGATGTCATAGAATGGTTTTCTGGTGTCAGCACCATTGTAGCTTTGACCCTGCCTGAAATATTAGGGACAAAATACAAAATATTTTGCATTTTTTGAACCTCGCCAAAATTTTCTTTGAAATAAACATTGCAAAACACTACCAAAATATTATTTATAGCACAAAAAAGTAGTACAGACTTTTAAATCTAAATGTTGTGTAAAAATATACCAAATTTGGACTCAATCAGATGAATCATATTTATTTTAGAATGGTATTACTGAGAAATTTTTTAGGCGGAGAGGCCATTTTGGCACATTTATCCAAAAATGTCACCAAACTGTGCCAAATGTGTTTTTTACATCAATACTGGGGGTTTGTTAAAATTACGAGGTCATGTAGCAGCTGGACCCACCGGTGGGTCCGTAGGGTTCTAGGGGTTTAATATATTGACCACTCATTTGCTTCACATCAGCCCCAATTAGCCAGGTGTATCCAAAATACATCTGTGCACTGATACACACATTAGTAAATAAACTGTGGGAAAAAGAGAGACTAAAATAGATTGAAGAATGAGCTTTTAGATTCACATTTAGATACTATGGCACAGAGCTCATTAAAGACTCTTTGATGTGCAAAAATCAAGGGAATTTTAAAAGTATTAGGCCCACTATTAAAAAAATATATATATATTTTTTTCAATTATCAAGTGGAATTGTGAATTGCATTTAAATAATTATTCTCTGTTTAACGGATGATCTGAGACATTTCAAAGCTAGAAAAGAGATACTATATTTTTCCTTTATTGGGCCATTTACATTTTAACAACACAGCAGTGAAATAATCCGGTTATTCTAAAATATTTTGTAATAAGTATAATTACAACCAATACTTCATCCTTAAAGTACCACCATTCTGAAAGCTCATAAGTGCTTGGAGTTTTATTAGCTTTTTTGAAGTATGAAACCCTGATAATGATTAATCCAAATGCCCTTTATAATTGGTTAAAGGATACATTTCAACAAAATAATATACAGTATAATTAATTTATCTGAAAAACTATCAAAGTAATACACAACCAGGAATGAAGGTCACAACAATAATTGGTTGTTGTTAAAAAATTGATAAAATGTATAGTTTTAAAGAAATAAAAAAATGAATGTTATTGACATAAAAGTGTACAAAAATAAAATATTACACTTTGAATTTTCTTTTTAGTTATTCAGCATTAATAACCTATGTGCAACAATATATGAATCTGTGCAGAGAACATAAACTAATGCATCATCTGGTTAGCTTGGAGCAGTGCTGATTTCGCACTATTGCAGCTGCTAAGGGGAAAGATCTGCAGTATTGCTCAACTATGCATTTAGTATGCATCAACCTTTCACTAAAGGAGCGTTTGAATTCTTCAACAGCGTCATGCAGTGGACAGATGGGCCATCCCAGGACGGACTCTGTCTCCCTGATCAGAATATTACAAATTTCCCCTCAGAGGCTGGTTGAACACAATATAGAAAATGGATTCCTAAGAACATAAGAGGACAGTCACAAAATTCAATCTGGCTGTATCACAGCCGCTTTGAAAAAAAAGAGACTTTCAACAGCCCATTTTTCATAGTGTGTCAAAATCCTGATCAAAACATTAATATTATTAATTTGCAGTGTTAATGGCAGTTATGTAGTCTGACAACATTAGATTCATTGGTCGCAATAATTGCATTGTGCTCATTGGTTTGCACCTCAAACAAACCTAAAATATTGCTCCAAGGCTAATTCTTTGATCTATGCAGGGCCGGTTATTGCATAGATGGTGCCCTGGGAAAGCCCCCCTTGATACTGCCTCACAAAAACAAACACAGTCTGTGTGGGGCAGAACCTCCACTTTTATTTTTATATTATTCATTTCAAATGTTTAAACAAATGTGAACATCTTACCAGTGTAGAATAGGGTTTTAAATGAGAGCAATCCAAACAACCAAGTTCAGTGTAAAAAAAAAAAAAAAAAAAACTAAAAGCTCCTTAACCTGATAATGTTTTTCTGCCATCCTTGGCAGTAATTCTTGCTATCAGGAATTTGAATGAACGACTGATGAATCATCAATATAATTCTGGAGGAATGATCTGGTAGGCTTGTAGGAATGATATCGATGGCGTGGGGCATCTTTTTTCTTTTCTCAGAGGATCGTTCTGGGATATATTTGTTCATATAGTGACCATGATTTACAAGGTGCATTGTGTGAAATTTTGAGTCCACTACTTTTTTATCCACTAGACCTTCGGACATCATCTAAAAAAAAGGCGTAACCATCATATAGTGCCCTATATAGGGGTTAGGGTGGACATTTGCACACCACCAATACAATCTGCTGGGTTTTCTGATGAACCAATCGTTCTATGATTTCATGGAAGTGGCTGTATATTCTTTGAATCAGCACTGTAAGAATACACATAACTGAAATTAGACATTTTGTCCAAGGTATATTTTTTCCCCAAATTATTTAAAAAACCTGATATTAGAGGGGAAATGAAACAAACTCTTGTGTTATTTTTGGTCAAAATTGTTAACTTATTATTATTACTGAACCATGAGCATTTCCTTAAACAAGATAAGTGAAGCCTGTGTTTCAGATATTGCACTGGTTCTTTGAGGCCTCCTGAATGTGTTCTCAATTTACTTGTTAAGTTCATTTGATAGTCCAACAAGGTTCCCCACTGTTCCCAGTTTTCTCAATTTCTGGATAATTTTAGGGTATATTTCTGTGACTTTTTTCAAATTTCATTAGATAAAGGCTTTATGTGCTGCAGCTACACTTTAACCCATGTTTATCTTGCTTAGTACAAATGCAAAGTTCAGTGAATTGGAGACGGTAGATGGAAAAATTAAGAGAGATAGGATTTCCCCCCTTTTCTATCAAAATCCACCTTCCAAAAAATTTGCAAAAACAAGAATTTGAATTAACTACATGAGAAAGCATTTGTTAAATATTATTATTAACTTTATTTATTTATCAAAAGAGGTCTTGATATAAATAATTTATTTACAGAATACCAGGCGTTAAGCTGGTGCATGATTTTGTACAAATCATCACTGGCCACATGATGGTGATCTTCCCACATCTTTTTCACAGAAACAGTACTGACCAGTTTCCTCAGGAAATACAATCCACAGACAGACTCCAGTATGCTCTATTCTAAGCGGATCACAAGAAAACACACTTCATCTATAAGTGCAATAATGAGAGAAGTTGGCATGAAGAAAGTCAATGAGCCAAAGCCATTGGAGATGGATGTGATTGTTCTATCAAGTCACATTTCAGCAGTATTCTTTAATAACAGCGCACAGAGAGTGGGGATTGCAGTCGTGTCATGGTTTATTTGGAAACAACAAAGTAAAATCATACAATTAAAAAAACAAAAAAACATTACACAAATCAAAACGCTTCGATAGCTCTGGTCCAACCACTGCCTGCCAACAGTGTTTGCTTTAAACAAATTGTCTGAGAGCCGAATATCTGTTCAAGGTCCATCTGCTGCCAACTCACAAACTCAGATAGACCACCTGATCCCAGAACCGAGATCAGGT